CCGATTTTTACAATTGGAGTTTTAAGACTGCAATGAAATGTAGAGTAAACATTACCTTGATGGCAGAAATTCGTAAGTTCTGGACTTCGCTTGCTGCAATGCGAATGAATTTTTCATATCGAGACCTGAAAAAGCAAATAATGGGAGTTATGGTAAACAAAAATGGAAGCAACCAGCTTTGCAAACAACTGCATCATCATGGTGTTATGGAATTGAGATCACGTATGAAATTAAGAGTTTGGCAAATCTTTCTTAACTGAAGCACTGTTGAGGTGCCCAATAATCTACAAATGCACCGAAGATTCATCACCATCATCAGAGAAGCTAGGACAAGAACTGTGGATTTTAGCTCATTAGAGCTATTGAATGGGATGTGATCTCACTTTAGCCTGCATCAGATTTATGAATCACTGTTTATTCTGGATATTAGGCATAGTCAGAGTCGCAATAAATTCTGGATGCAATGATAGTTAAAATCGAGTAAGGATGAGTATCTCAGTTTCCATGACATAAAACAATAAGGCAACTACGGTGTCAATAAACTTCAGTCTAGATTTCCCATCTCAGGGAAATACTTGCATTCAATCGAACTCAGTACATTTATTAAAATATTTAATACTGAGCTTAAGAAGTTAGTGGGCTTGAGCAAAAGCTCATCTCATTGAAAGTAGACACATATAAAAGCTATATAAATGCACAAAACCCAGAAATTTCCGAAATGGGAGGCAATTGTGATCCTATGTAAAGTAGGAATTCACAAATCAATGTAAATAAAGAGGACTCACTCAACAAAAGCCTCAATTAACTCTTGCCGAAGAGTTGCTAGCAGATGGCGATGCGTGAATGGATAACCGAGTCGCGTGAGACTCTCGGGTAGCATAGGTCGGTGTTGCTTTGGCAAGCCCGAGCCCCCCAAGTAGTTTGCGTCAGGTGGGAAAGTACGCAACAAGTCAAGAATGTAAGTGCGGCTATCCTTGCCAAGAATGCCTTTACAATCTACGGAAGAGAAAAGCTCGACTTCCGAACCAGAAGCGTCAAGCACCCTGAAAGAAATTTTAAAGAGGTAGGTAAACAAAATATGATTCTACAGAACTATCAGTCATACTCTTCAACTTGGCAGCATAGTGCAGCGACTATCTTAAAATAATGTGAGAGATGTTATTCTCTAAAACAAAATCTTTATTAGGGGGACCTTCCTTTCGAATGAAAGCACATGATGAAGAGATTGGTTTGTCGTTCTTACCAGATGAGGACGGATGAAAATCGTTGTACTGCAGCCTTTTAGCTTTTATATTATATTCATGATGGACGAAAGCTCAGCACGTTCTTACCCGAAACGAGGGAGGAATACTCGTCGACTGCGTCAACATG